CCACTATTCGTCCCGAAGTTGGCACTTTCGGTCTTAGGTGAAAGTTTGGAAGCTCAGTGCATTATTCACAAACCCTCGCGTAAGAAGACTGTCTTCGACGCCTAATGAGCGGACGATTTTCCAGTGCAAAGAAGTACTTTAAATTAACGAGCACAGCCTATTTACTATGTTCATTTTAGTTTTCGAAAGCACAGATCTGAAATACTTATACTTCCATTTTGTTTAAAGAGGCCGATGACGTTAGTTTATTGTTACAACTCCTGCCTTTTAAAATTAATCATTTTAACATTGGTAAGCACATTTCTGAGACCACGAGCTCCGTCAAGAAGGACGTTCGCGGATTAATTAAGAAGATTCATTTTGAAAGACAGGATGTGTAACAATGGCCTAACGTCATCGGCCACTTTTAAAAAATTGGAAGTATAGTTGATAATTCGCGATCATTCTTGAAAATAGACACATATTGGCACAGTCCCCGTGATATTATTTTTCCATTGCACATTTGCAATTCCCAAATTATTTATAGCCCTTTTTTTACTGTGAATCGTTTTCTGTGAGTATGCTTTGATCAGATGCTGTCAGCCGACAGGATGTCGTTGCGTCGTTTGGCCTGCGTCATGACCTTTTTTCTGGGTTGAAAGGTCCTAAAATGGTGGGTGAGACACAAACGACCTAGAGCAGTCCCAGTACACTGGTCGCGGAAGTATCAATCTGTGTTTGGGTCGCTTGCTCCCTCTGCCGCGTTTGCTTACAAACTGGAAAATAAACTTTGTTCCCTACGCGTTATCTATACCACATACGCCGCCCAGCCCTATTTTGTTGAACAGTTCAAATTGTAGCAGGGCCATTACGAGCCCTACCAACTCGCAGTGTGCAAACGGCCTGGCAGTGATCAGCATCACTTAGGGTTTCATGGATATACGGGATTCTTATCCAGTATCTACGCCTTGTAGAGCTGTACCTGGACGGATTGGTATTTAAATGTATAAATGGTTCTGACTCCTCGTGGATGATGGGCAGAAGGTGGGCTGCGAGTTAGAAGACGCGGGAAAACTGGGAGAACATCTGTCACGATCTCGTTTGCCCACTTCCACACGGATGGACCGGGATTTGAACCGCGGATCCCTTGGGCGCGAAGCTAGCGTCCTGCCCGCAAAGCTTCTGGACTTGGATTTCCAAACTGGGCTTCGATTTCCACCGGTCTGGCGTCAGCGATGTTCCTCGTCTTTGGTCTTGTGTGTTGGGCGCGTGCGCAGTGTTCCCTCATTTGCCGCACGCATTCCGCGGGCGGGCGGGCGCGCGCGCGCCTTCCTTTGCACCCCGCCCACGCGCGCGCCCTGGCCGCCGTCCAGAGCCGCGTCGCCCACCGTCCGGCGTCCACTACCCGTCTCGACGTGACGGCTCGTCCGGATTGTCGCACGAGCGCCTTTGCCCATGGCGCTCACGTCGCGTAATGGGCGCATCGATTCGGCGCTCGCGGCCGACTTCAGATTGCGCGCTCGCCCCCGGGGTCGGCGGCAAGCGCCTGCCGGCCTGGCACGATCTCCATGTGATGCACTGTCGGTGGCAAACAGTCGATTCTCGCTCACGTTAAGGCTTCGGTTTTTAGGTTAGAAAATATTTTAAAACTTATTAATGAATCGATATTGTGTGAATTCTACTCACGGCGAACCCTGCAGATAGGTGGCCTACAAGGAGTCGTGGAAGGGTCTGAAAACTAGAATTGCCAAGAGAAGCTATTGGAATTGTCAGGATATATTTGTTATTGAGTTCTATTTATTATCTCGGTAAGGCTGTCACGTTGAAAATCGTATTGTGCTAATCTTCGTTAGGCAGAAGGGAGTAGCGACATGTGGAAGTAAAATGTCCAGCGGAGAGTGAGGAGCGGGTTCTCTCTCTGCAAGTTCACTTCATTAATGAGGGTCTGATCCCAGCTGCCTGCTCTGTGCCTGGGCGGGGAGTACATGTATGCGTTCGATTAACAAACCATAATAATTATCCTGGGGTGGCAGCTCTCGTAGGCCGGGGGCCAGCAGTGTGCCTCGATCCGCCCGGCGCGGCAGGTCCTCCTCAATGAATTGCGGGCGCCGCGCAACGCGAAGCGGTTTGATCGCCA